ATAGATTAGGTCGGTAGATAGATAGATAGATAGATAGATAGATTAGGTCGGTAGATAGATAGATAGATAGATACATTGATCATGATGGATAGATAGGAAGTTTGGAAAAGTCATTGAAAGAAAATACAGACTACATATATTTTTGAATTCGCCATGCAACCTGGTTCTCGAATCATTTCCAAAATTCTCTTGCGCCCGAGTCAGCAAAAGAAGAGTAAAAATGAAAATGAATGAAAGACCCCTCAAGTATACCAACATAAACCCCACATAAGCCCAACAAGGCCCCGACATGACCCAAAAACGGTGTGTGCATTTGGGCCTTGGTGCCCAGGCCCAAATGCACACGCGGTTCTTGGCCCAACATGGCCCCAACATGGCCCCGAAAGCCCCCAGATATAAAAGTCTCGGTGCCTTCCCGTGCTGTTGCCAAGCCCCCCAACATGGCCCCAGCATAGCCCGTCATACGTCCAAGATAGATTTTACATGGTCCAGCGTAGGCCCAACAAAGGTTCCTTTATGATCCAAAAAAGGCGTGTTCTTCTAGGTCCTCAAAATCAAGCCCAAGAAGAACACGCCGTTCGTGGCCCACTATAGGCCCAACATAGGCTCAAGATGGCCCCAACATATGGCCCCCAAGGGCCCAACATGGTCCAACATAGGCCTAGGCCCAACATGGCACGACATGACCCGAGAATTGGCAGGTGTATCTGATACACCTGGTTACAAGAACCCAACATGGACCAACATAGGCCCAAAAATAAGTCCCACATAGGCGCAGCATGGCTCCAAAACGGCCCCGCATTAATGAGGGCCTTCAGCGAAGGCCTGTGAAATCATGAACATCGACCTAGCATAGGTCCTACATTACATGGGGCCCGACATGGCCCCAACCCCAGCATGGCAAAAATTCACTACGCAGTTTTGCCTTTATTGTATACATACCTTTTTTACCCTGCTCCAGAACCAGCCCGGCGGAAGACGTACCAACATATATCAATTAGAAAGATAAATGCATAGAAAGACAGATAGCAAGAAACATAATAAGCAGAGAGATGAAGGATTGACTGGCAGGTAGTTAGATAGATAGATAGATTAAATAGATAGATGGATCGATAGACAGACAGACAGACGGACAGACAGACAGATAGATAGATAGATAGATAGGTTGGTTAGTTAGTTAGTTAGATAGATAGATAGATGGATAGATGGGTAGATGGATAGATGGGTGGACACATGGATAGATGGATAGACGGATAGGCAGATAGTTAGATAGGTAGATGTATCTAATCTAAAACGGTTATACAATTAAAGAATCCAATAGAGCACTCACCACCTGAGAACAAACACATTTTGAACAAGTATGTTGGTCTTGTGCAAGAAGAGACAGGTCGATAGAAAGATAGGTATCTAGGCGGATAGACAAAAAGATAGATTTAAAAACACTAGCTAAATAAATAGGCAAATCAACCGACAAACAAATAAACTGATATATACACAGGTCAGATACGGGAAACACGTTTACACAAAAACAAGCTCAACCATGAAACAAAATAGCAGTAATCAATGGAACGTCGCAACTCAGCAAATCAAAAGGTGACCAGCTCAATAGAAAACTTCCTGGTAGTTGATTTTGTGCCCGCAACTACAAATCCCCCCTTTAGTATGTGTTTGGCACAGCAACGAATTCCCGGCAAGGTCTCCAAGCTGATTGCTCGTCAAGCTGTCCATGTGGTACTTGTGATATTCTGCGTCACCAATGCCTTGGAATCTGGCCTTCTCCTGTCAGGGAAATGAAGATGTCACGTTGGAAAAACACAATGGAATGGTTATAAAACAAAATCAGGGTTCCTCCCGAATCAACACCTTCTCAGCATCTTTTAAACCTTTTGGATATTAAACGTGGGTAGGGAACTTTTGAAAAACTTTTAGCAACCCCTGTCACGACATCCAAGCAATGTCCAACGACCGCTGCAGATGTACTTCCCGTGCGGCAGCAAGCACGGGAGCAACTTCGGCGTCTTGCGAAGCCATGTTTGCCGCCCCCAATTCTGGTCCTGACACAGCGGCAAAGAAGGGGGCAAAACAGCGTCGAGCGGAAACATATTTCCAACGCTTACGTAAAGCTAGGACAAGTTGGAAACAATGGCAGCACATCCCCTGGCGCAAAAGAACAGAGGTAACGGTTCCTGGGAAAATATCAAGCTGATCACGCAGCTCCAACACAAAAAATATCGCGGCCTTTTGTCAATCTTGGCGTTAAACTTTGAAGTCCCTCTGGGCAAACAGCGTCAAAAAATAGAAATATGTAACCATGTTGATACAACTTTAAAAAACGTCCCAGCGGCCAGCTGTATGCAAAACTGCTCATCATACGGCTTGAGGCCAGAGCGCTGCATCTCCGTCACCGCACTAGCAAGTAAGCACAGTTCTCTGCGTGTCAGATCCACGTGCTTCGTCAATTTTTCAAGCAGCTCCAAGTTTCCGTGCACGGCTTCCTGAGCACAAGAAGCAGGAGATGTGTAAAATAAGCACAGGGGAGAAATAAACCTACTCTGTGACGACTTCCACTTGTCAAGAAGTATTGCGTGTTGGAACTATGGTACATGGCCACCGCAACCAGGCCCCCTATTTCGGCTAGAAACGGAACCAAGTTCTTCACAAGAATTTTTGAAGGCATCCTTCCACTTCTCTCCATCGCCCTTGCCCTTCTTGGCTTTCTTGGGACCATTCTGATCCGGACATTGGGCCTGCTTGGCGTTCAAGAATGCGCTGAGGCCAAGTTTCTCGGCATTGAATTTTAAGGTGCCCATCAAACATTCTCCAGACAAAGAAGACCTGAGCAGAATCTTGAAAGACTCTGAGAGCCAAACAAAACCTGAAAGACGCTGAAGAGTGGCGCTGGACCCCAAAAAAACAATGATAAATTCCAACAAGACACTTCATGTGGGTTCCCCTGATGTATAAAACCCAAGCTCGAGATCGGCTTTGGGCAAGACCGTAGTCAGAGCTATTGACGCACACAGAGAAAGCCGGTTGGAAACCTAGCTTTCGCATGGTCTCCGTCTGAATTTGCATGGGGCATTCGTCTCCAAACTGCTTCCGGTTGAAGAACATGGCTTGAACGTTCTCGAGAAGTGCAAATACCAACTCTGGGCTTCGTTCAATGTACTTCATGGTAGAATGATACCCACAGCCCGTGGAACTGCTTCGGTCCTTGAAGCTCTTCTGCTTGGGATTCTGAGGTGAAATTGTTCTGCACGGGTACCCCGCTACGAGTCCCAGTGCCTGAATGACAACAAGCACTATTCCCAAAAAAAACCATCAACAGCAATTTTCTTAACCATGATGTCAACCGTTCTCTAAATGGGAACTAATGGCAAAAATCTTTGGGCATTGACCTAGTTCGGCATTAGCCAAGCGGCGAATGGAACTTTCACCTTTGCCCCGCTGATCACGTCGAAGGCTTCCCCTTTTCCAAGCTCCTGCATGTCTCGGAACAAGAGTTTGACCGAAGGATGTGCCTTGGTCAAATAGGTGGCCTTCCAAGTCTCCCGCTCACACATGAATGCCGTGTAGAACTGCAGGGCGGCAAAGTGAAAAATGAAAGTGAAAACTCACGCAACACATTGTAAGGATTCAAAACAAACAATCCGTTTCCACACACAGGCCTTCGGAGAACGAGGGCAAACATCATCTAAAACTTCATTGATGGCATCTATGACCATCTCAGCAACACCCCACCCACTGCAAATAGAAGCTATCGGAATGCCATCCGAAAATTCAGCTTTGCGAGAGCGGGCTTGCAAGGTTTTGAGAAAGTCTGTGATGATGGCCTTGTCCTTGTGCTCCGTGAAAGCCCATCGCGTCCAATTCTCCACCTTGGTTTCGGTCACGCCCTCTCTCGGCAACTGGCTGTCATTGTTCCAAAAGAAACTGTCACACTTGCTTTCCTTCTGTCTATTGAAGCCGGCCACAACAGATAACCAATGAACCGGACACGATTGGCAAACAGCTCAGCACACACACAGAGTGCAAACAGCTTAATAAGCATGGAAAAACCTGCTAATCTAAAAGTTTCCATGTGCGCAATGTTGACACTGAATGCATCACACTTCTCCGACACCATTGATCTTGAGGAATGTCAAATCCGTTGCAGTGGGGTCTGCTGGGGATTGCTCGGCGGGCTCAGCATCTGAAGCTGCGAAAATCTCCTGAGAATGCCTTGGATGGGACGTCAAGACAGACTACAGCGACTGCTGCTCTGGCAAGGCAATGTTAAACAAGCTGCTGAGTACGGCAATGATGAAAATTGTCATGCATTTTGCTACTATGCTACGGTGAAGGTGGAGCTTCCTCCTCACTCGTAGGAAACATCATGTCATCATCCTGGGCCTGGGCCTCACCCGAGTGGCTGCTAGTTTGCTCCTCTTGGCATCTCCTGCCCAAGAGGCCGTGGCTATTTCGATTTAGATCTGCTTGGGGGATCATAAGTTCAAATGACAGCTGGAAGGATGTCACCGATTGCTGTCGGAAGTTTCATTCAACAAGCAAAAGATGTCAAAGTCTTTTCAAACTCTGCCCATCCGCTAAGCATGAAATACATTCTAACTGCTAAAGTTTCAGACCTTTTTTTTGCAAACTAGAAGAAGAGGCCGCGCTTAAAATCCCAAACCAAACGATGAGCATTTAGCAATCAGCAAACAATGCATGTTTAGCAGTCCCGGTGGAATGTGCAAGTGGAGGCTGACTGTCGTAAAAGTCACAAGTAAAATGTTGACTTGGCAAACACATGAGCATGAAAAAGGACTGGAAGCAGACAACCACCAAAAAAGACGCTGCTTGAACGGCTTTGGGTTTGTTGGTCAATTGCCTTTGCCCTATTTGTGAAAATGCAAAGATTCTGTGTCAATGCTTCCATCTTTCGCTAGCTCTTAGAGTAAACTTTCAGAAACCTTGCCAGGCAACCCAATGTTACACACGCAAACTTTTTCAATCGCATCTCACCGGCCATCATCGTCATCTTGAATTGGTCGGTAGGCATCATCCGAGCCAGAATCAGCATCCTCGTCTTCGAACCCCAAACCCACATGCCGCTCACGCCCACGGGGGCCCCAAGGAGCAGACGGCCCAGGGTCGTCAGCTGGAAAAAGACGGTGGGTCAAAAAACTGTATCTTTGCGGGCGTGGGTTTTTTTGTAGCGTCCCTTCGGCCCAACTGACTAAGTAAGCAGCTGCCTCTTGGCTCAAGACCATCTGCTGTACACACGCAGGCACCCTGCTTGTGATCTTTTTCTTGGCACTCTCAGAAATGACTCTTCGCTTCCAAACACCTGATGGCTGGACAAAGCTCCGCCGAATGAGGGCACATTGTGAAGCAGGCAAGATCGTCACAATCTTGAAAGGCTGGGGGTCCGCCATAAACTTTTTCGCAACTAAAAGCAAATCGTTGCCATCCTGGGTTTGGCCGCGAATCTCCTCCACAGTGACAGACCCATAAGAACTGGGATCGAGGTCTTTTCGTAGAACAATGCGGATTTGACCCACTCGAACTCATGGGTTGCACATCCGGTGATGGCGTGAAAACTTGTACAAAATCTGCCCTTAGCAAATAAGTCCCTAGAATCAACATGTCCACGTATAAGGTTCCAGAAGATCTCTGGAAAGTAAAGAATTGCCTTTTACCAACACTTTAACCGAAAAATATTCTTCCATTTGTGATGTTTCCCTCAAAGGCTTCCATGGGACCCAACATGGCGCCACATAGCCCCAAAACAGCCCCAAAAACGAAAAGTTTTCGGTTGGGATTTGTTTCTCAAGCACCAAATCACCCAACATGGTCCCAACTTAGACCCCAAATTGCCCAACATTGGCCCCACATACCCCCAAAACAGCCCTAAAACAAACCTCAAAACACAGTTGGGGTTGGTTTTGAAAGCGCCAGAAACTGCTGTGCAAAAACAAATTTATTGATAGTAAAAAGGGGGTTTAAAATAAACCCCTTTTTTGTCCCCAACATTGGCCCCAAATAGCACCAAAAAAATAACCAAACACCAAAAGATTTCGGTAGGGATTTGTTTTTTAGCGCCAAAAGACCCAACATGGTCCCAACTTAGACCCCAAATTGCCCAACGTTGGCCCGACATACCCCTCAACCTGAAGCTCAAACAAGATCAAAAAAGAACCCTCACAAAAAGTCGATTTTTTGTGAAGCTTCTTTTTTCTTTCCAGAGACCTCCATGAAACCCCATATACCCTACCAAACAACCCAACATGGGCCCAACATAGACCCCAAATGGCTCAACATTGGCCCGACACACTCAAACAAGATCAAAAAAGAACCTTCACAAAAGTTCGTTTTTTGTGAAAGTTCTTTTTCACCTCCATGGAGCAGCACATAGCACACCAAATGACCCAACATGGTCCCAACTTAGACCCCAAATTGCCCAACATTAGCCCGACATACCCCTCAACGTGGCTCAAACAAGCTCCTCATCCTCTTGCAAACTGTCTTGCTCCGAACCCCAACGGCCGCTGCTCTCCGCTGAGCTTCGGATCCTTAGTTTTTTCAATATGCTTGCCTCTATTATGTTCCTAGCTTTTTCAAAGCTTTGCATCAAAAAGGGACCTTCACAAAAAGTCGTTTTTGTGAAAATTCTTTTTTTCCTTCCCGGAGACCTCCATGACCCCGCATGCGTTCCCAGAAAATGCGTTCCCTGAAAATGCGTTTCAAAGCCAACAGGAAATTTACCACTCCTTCCCCTCAGACGCCCATGGATCCAACATGCCCACGGAATGTTACGAGGGAACTGCAATTTTTTCATAGACCAACAACAGTCCGAAAAAAATCGATGTGCTGATTATGCACTTAGGCTTGTCAACTTCCGAGGCTACAAGGATTTCCTTGTTCCTGTTTCTCCACATCGCTCTCTTATTATTTCACGCCTCATATCGATTTGGATGCGGCTTTGGGTTTCCGAACAGCAATTGACGAAAACTGCCAAGTTGGGGGCCGAATTTCTGTCCAGTTTGGGGTCTATTGGCAACTAGTACTTTCAAATGTTTGGGCGCCAACGGCTGAAAGCCCACAAAACTGAACCATGTTCCGGGGCACGCAGACCCTTCACCCGCACGCCAAGCATGCTCACCCAGTGCTTCCAATCAGCAGCTTCGTCTAACTTGAAGGCCTCGGAATGGACTTTGCCGACCTTCTGCCATGCTCTTTGTCTCTCTGCAGGGTCTTCTGGCCGCGTGGAACCATCCAGAATCTGGATCAACTCGGTAGGATTGTCAAAAGTGTGCCGTGCGATGAGGGCTGCCTGAACAGAAAAGCATTGGTCAATGTCTTCGTGGCCTTGCATGAGGCCCCCCGCATTGATCTGAAAATGAACAAAATCGGTGAACAATTGCAACGTGCAAGAAATAGATTTTCACAACTGCAGTTCTGAATGGTTTGATCAAGTCACTGTGACCACCTCTTAAAAAACTGGCTGAAGTCCATCGGAAGATTCCCAAAGCTGTGATCAAAACGAGGAATCCTATGCAGTGCCGGTTCTTGAACTCGCGGTATGTATTGTCAGCATGGCAACTCAGCCCAAATGGGAGTGTGCCATGCTGACAATAGAGGTCGTCTAGAGCCCTGCATAGCTGCTCAATTTCCCCAACGGCATCCTTGCAAAAATCTTCATCGGACACGCTCAGGTAAAAACAGCGGCCGTGAAGCCAGGTCCCGCTGACATGGAGCCGGGGACGGTACAACTTTGTCCAAAGTTTTGACATGGGCTGTCCTCGCACACGCGGACACTTGAACTTGGCCTGATCCATGGCATCCTGCATGATGCAAGCCAAGTTTATAGCTATTGAAGAATTCATCATCCTGACAATGTCACAGGTAGGATTTGGGTTCCCTCTTTGCGACAACACCAAGATTGCAAGTTGTTAACAGAGGCACATTTATGGATCCCAAACTCTTGTGAAAGCAAGCCCCGCAATACACATGCCAACTTTTCCATTTTGGCTACCCCAAAAAACGGCCCCCAGCAACCCCTGCGCAAAGTTGCACAGCCCCTAATGTTGTTGTGTAATTTGGTAGGGTTCGTGGGGTCCGTTTTTTTTTCGGGTGGGCAAGATGCAAAGTTACAAGTTGAAAACTGTGTCGATTCAATGCGTTCAAAGCTCCTCTGGCCGAATTCCCTCTGGCTTTGGAACCACGTTTGGGACAATGATCTCATGGACCAGTACACTTGACGGTCAAGCCATTGAGAAAGAATGTGCATGGAATACGAACGAATGTTCGCTTCCCTGCTGGCTGCCTCGCACCTGCCACGCCGAAACTTCAACGACTGCTTCAGCCGAACACAAACGTCGCATTTTGAATGTTCACTTTGTTTCCGGAAGTGAAGATGGCCACTACGAACATGGGGCCCAATCACCTTGTTGCAAACCCGAATGAAGGTAGTGTAAGAGGATGCCGGCTGACTCCTCGCCTCGCAGAATGCAAGGTACTCGTAGAACAACTCCGTTTGGTTGCCATTCTGCAGATGTCTACGTTCACCCTTGAACGTGCCAGGCCCAATCAAATGGACGTCAATGTCTGAGCTGTACGTCTGAAGCCTTTTCAAAAATCCATTGACATGCCTATCTATGTCATCAGCGTCTCGATCTTGACAGTTGAAGGGAGCCTCTGGCAGCTGTGGTTTGCCCAGTCTGTGACGCACGCCATCCGGCATGTACTCAGCTGCACTGTGGTACACATGCCACAAGTACATTACTATTTGCGGCCACTTCTCAGCAGTGTCTCCACGCATGGTAAAACCAAAAGCAGGGTGAGTTGGAAGCTTAGGTCTGGACTTCATTGTGTAAACAGGTTCCCCATCGCGCAAACGTTGCAATGTCTTTTGGCCAACCCCAAGAAGGCGACAACATGCACGAACACAGACACTCTTTCCTAAAAACCGTATGCTATCTGATCTGCGTTCAGCATATTTCCGTTTTTTGCCAGCTTGAAGTGATTCACCAGCATCTGAAGCTTCAAAACAAGATGACCCTGACACTGCGAAAACTTGAGAATCCTCTGATGCAGAAGAAGGACGATCTGAATCTGTAGCGCTAAAATCTGGAACCTCGTCTGGAGCGTCTTCAATAGAAAGTTGCTCCTCTCTTCTGGCCCGAACAGAACAGGTGAAAGTCTCTGCCAAAAAATCTTCCTGAAGGGACTTGCAGGCAAGGGTTCAACTTGAGTTTGCTTTGTCACAAACCTGTGGGTGGAACAGAAAGTCCCCAAAAATGAAATAAATCTTGTCCATCCATTTCCAAAACCCTTGCCTTCTTATGATCCGGCAAATCCTTGAACTCTTGTCGCTTAGCTCGCACCATCTCCCCCATGTCAAGAAATTGGCGGAGGCATGTCAAACGCTTGCAACTGCAAGATTGCTGAAGAAAGGCTAAGTCTGAAGGCATTGGAGCAACAGCAAAATTGCGGCGATGCCGCGAGGGTCCAGGCTGGGCAGGCCTTGACCCTTCATCATCAGAAGCAAGAAACATTATCAGACATGGCACCACTGCCCAACACACAGTTGGGTTCTTCGGGCCTACACTCAGAAGTACGGCAAGGAGTCAGCCATCTCACACCTTTCAACTGACCACATTCATCTTACCTTTTCAAACACAATGTGACAACCAATTCACTGAAGAAGCTCTTGAGCCGGAGGTGAAATTCAAATCAAATCTCTCCAGCCCCCAAGTCTCCTCTTCGACGCTGCAGGGCGTTGAAGGGCAGAAGCAGCAGCAGCAGCCCGCTTGACGGCAGGCCGCTTCATGCACGGCCAAATGTCAGGTTGGCCCCAAACTCTCAGAAATTGATCTTAATTTCAATTGAGCCGTCAAATGTTCACAAAATGAAGCTGGAAATCTTTCAAGCATTCACTCAAGCAACTGCTCTTGGGAATGGTGAAATGTTTCTGAAACTCGCCACTGCTGTCTCAAGCTGCGAAGAAAAAAGGCCGGCACCACAGGCAAAGGTCGTAGAAAGCAAGGGGCCGTTCCTGCCAGACATGTTTGTGAAATCAATCACCACTGATTTGCACCCAAAATATGATAGGAGGTGGCTCTAGGCCTAGGTCCTAGGTCTCAGCACCTACAAACTTGAATCAACTATTCCAAAAACAAAGTTGACATCCAGAAAGCGTGCGCAAACAACATATTGTCCAGGATAGGAAAACGGCATCCGCGCCTATCAAACAGAATGATCAAAACAGAGTCTCGCCTTGTCGGAAGACACAAGGCGGCCGTCCCAAGCGAGTCAAGGCCTTTAGGGGCTACCGACAAATCAAAGCTACCCATACTGGAGAAAACACTGCCAACGGTTCACAGTCGAAGAACGTTTGCCCTGCCTTTGGTTCTGAAAAAAAAACAGATCCAAAGGTTGGTGTCCACACAGGCCACCTGCCAAAGGCGGAGCGTGGAATTCTTCCTTCAAAACAGTTTCTGACCACCAAAGGATGCAGGTTTGGCAAACACCAAGCCTCTTCAGCACCAAACTCTGGCACAAGAGCCGGGCAGAAGCTGTCACTGTCAAAACTTAAGATGTGAGTTGACATTGTTCAAGGTGGCCCACGAAGGTATGGATCTAGATGGAAAGTTTTGTTAATTACCGGCCCCCACGTTCGAATGATGTGTGTTGGTTTGATGTGTGATGGAACAAATGCGGCGAGAGCGCGGCAAATTAAATGCATCTGAATTGATTCCCATCTGCGCAAACATTTTCTTGAACTGCAAGTTGCTAAATACTATGCTAAATGATTGCACCCTGCTGTGGAAAAAATTGCCCCCCGGGAAAAAAAAGTTTGCTTCCAGAAGTCCCCAACAAGCATCACAAATCAAACTCTGCTGTTCGCATTTGAACTGCACATCCCGATTTTGCCACAAAGGACCAACTCCCTCCCTATCAAATTAAATAAATATATATATATATAATATAATATATATATGTGTTGTCAAACCTCCAGCAGCACCTAACAACACTCTGCACTTTTCACGAGCATAGTGGCCGCCATCTAGCGATCTCAAACTGCAAAGGCTCAACGTTGAGACAAGGGGAAGATTGCCAACTGCTCCACACAGGAATAGCTGACCCAAGCAAGCTTCCAGAAAAGTCATCAAACCAAAGTGAGCATTCCACCTTTGAGAGTAGGCAGCAACGGTAACGTTCGCGCGCTCACAGCACCTAACCCGCTCAATGCTCGAGGATGGAAAGGTAGTAAGGAAACATGAGGCTAAAGGAGTGGATCAAAAGTTTGCAGCTGTCAGGCAGGTCAATCATCGTTATCTGGGTTGCGATCTCTTGCAAATAATGTTGTAGTGTCTCAATATTGCGGAGTCTTAGAATCCAGAGAATGTCAGCTATGGGAACACCTTGTCTGTAGAGTTCTACAGTGCCACCGGCCCGCAGGCCTCCAGGGGTAAGGTTCGCACCAATAGGCACTCGCAAACCTGAAAGCACCTTGTTCCACCGAGTTCTAAACATGCCAAAAGAGCCAGGGTAAATGAAAGCCTCAGAACTCAAAGTTCCCAAAATAGACCACAGGAAACTGCACACGCAAGAAGGTTTAATCTTTGTGTGCTGAACTCTTCCCATACCACGTCTCCCAGGTTTAGGCTTTTGAATCCTGAAAAAGATGGGTCCACAAGCTTCGCCAAGGTCACGAGGAAAAACAAGCTGACCTCTACAAGCTTTGATCACTTCTCCAGGTCGGCAACATCCAAAATATGCAATGAGCAAAATGCAGCCGATCCTAGTCCAGCCCCAGGCAATGGCAAGTGACACCGTGGCTTCCAACATCTTCAAGGGCACAGGCCGCCTGTGCTCCACCGGCTCCAGCTCTTCCCAACGTGCTATGGCATCCCAAGCGAGGCTAAGATGGTCTCGAAGACCAGGAAATTCGCGCTGTGCAAAAACCACCAGATGCCTAAAATTAAACAAAGCTTTCCCACACTCATACATATGCCTACCGTATGAACTAAGCATGTTGCCCATGAGGACGGGCGAGGCCCACAAACTTCTAGCAACTGCTTCGCCTATCAAGCTGACTGTCCAAGCCCAGAACAGGGCCCATTGCCTGCTGCCTATGGCCTGCGTTTGCGGCCGAATGAGCTCCACCTCATCCAGGGCACTGGCATTTCTGGGACGACCACCACTCGGTCGAGGTCCAGGGTTTTTGGCTTCGCCTATACGCCGGTGATCGTGCCGGGAAGTTAGAGATGAGCCAGCACTATTCTTGTAAATGCCCAAATCGGTGAGAACAGCCCAAGCCAGAAAGGAGCACAACCTCTTGGGATATGGTTCAGCAATCTTGGTCCAGCAAGCCTTATGATTCTTTGGTTTCCCACGTAGAATAATGTGCTTGTGGTCTCGCCTGCACAGCCGCTTTACTCCAGCCAATCTTCCAGAGGTGAGGAACCTAGTCCTCTTTCGCCACGGAGCTCCAAAAGCGCAGAAATCAAGTCTGAAGAAACGACTGGCTGCTTTCTTCGGCAAAAACTTCAAAGATGGGTGGTCCCAAATAAAACTGCCGTCAGGATTCTCAACCCAAAAGCCTATGCAGAGGCTGATACACAAACGAATGATTGACCCGATCCACTTGGCATGAGAATTGCCCTGAGAAATCTTTTCAAACAGGCTCTGCCTGATAGGTTTGATCCCTAAAGGCTCAGCTTTGCTTCTCACAGCGGGCGTAATAGCCCCAGAAAACGACGCGCAAATGGGAGCACAGGAAACGTGCAAGAAACAGCCGCCTCTGATCAACCTTTCAAGTTTCCGCCTTGTCGCCGGAGACAGCAAATCAAACTGTGGGCCGTCCTCAATGTCAATAGTCAGCACCCAAGGAGCACCAAGTCTGCTACAAGCCTTGGCAAAGCCCTTTCGCCCAGAATAAAGATCAAGCAGACCAGGACAACGCGGCGGCCATTGGAATCCACTACCAAAAATAAATGCCTCCTTACCAAAAGAAGTGAGATCATCAAAAATGTCTGAGGGCCACAAATGAGTCTCTTCAATGGAGCTGATTGAAGAAGGTTCACTTTCCTTGAATTTCAAAAAATGTCTTTTACTGAGCTTCTCTTGAACTCGCTTATGGAGATTGTTCTTCTTGCGGATAGAGTGTTTGTCAAACTGTCTATTCTCAGCACTGGGAAAAAGGTCTTGAAGGGGGGCATGACCAGAAATATCATTGTCATCCAAACCATCATGTTTCAGCATGTCATCTAACATCTCATACGCCCCTTGAGCAGCACAGAGCCACCATTCCGGTAGTTCAACATCCGGATGACGCAAAGATGCCCCTCGTGTAGGATCGTCTGCAGGATTATGTTTTGTGTACACGTAACCAGGGCTGGAATACACACCTCTACCAAGGAGATTGGGCAAGCTCTTTCGTAATTCTCTGTTCAATACGTGCGAAGCAGACCTGCCCTTGCAAATAGCACCCGCTGTAACCTGAGAATCGCCTCCAATGCAGACCCGCACATCCGAAGCATGCATCCCCACAATCTCTTCCGCCTTGAGGTAGGAGCGCAGCTCGCCAATATTGATATGCCTAGCATTCCTTGCCCGCCGCTTCCAACGAACCTCGTAGACAAGACCCCGCGCGGCAACCTCCCAGACAGGATGAGACGAATAGGGGATTTCACCTGGAGGCAGCTCTTCCTCTGGATCTAGAACACCTTTGCCTTTAAGGTTAGCCTTATAAGGGCTCAGCAGCTTAGTCCACGTAGACCTTGATAAACCATGCCTGTGCATTTCGGATCGGAGACCTGTAGGGAGTTCAGCAGCACATACGGCATCGCCCCAATTAGAAGCATCCACCATGTAGACCTCGTTGCAGAAAGACGCCCTGAGGTTTGTGACCGCTAAGGGACAAAGAATACATAGAGACCACAGCTCATCCCGCAGCGCTGAAGAAAGTTGGACCACATCACCTTGATCCCGACCCGCCTGTGCAGCATAGATAAGATCCAGCAGGGACATCATTCTTCGCCTAAACCCAAATAAAGCCACAAAACCACCAGAGACCATTTCTAAAAGACCAACTGTAGCAACGCCCAAGCAAGCAATTTTACTTGTAATCCAGCACAGAGAACCAGCACGCACCACGTTACCTCGGACAAGACCACGAAGACCGTCAACATCAGCACCCCAAAAGCTCGCACTGTCAGAGTTGGAAAACCCCTTGGTGGGGTGAGCTTCAAGACCTACCTGCTTGTACATGTCATGCATAGCAGCTCTACGATGCTCCATGTCAACACCACGTGTTTCCTCAATACCAACCTTCTGCATAAGGATGAAGTCATCAATGATGATACCTGAGAGAGTACTATGCCTAGGCGTGCGACCATGCAATGTGAGCAAATTGTTGGGGTCAATAGCACCAGAGATTAAACCCATGCAGATGTGTGAGGTTTGTGCGTATTCACAAGCAGCAGAATCTCCCATAGCCAGTGTATTCAAGCAGGCATAGACATACCTCTCACTCTTCAGCGCATCAGGAAAGCCAGCAAAATTTTTCACAAGCTTGGTATCAATTTTCCAATCCAAAAAATTTCGAGATGCTCTGTCATGTCCAATCTTGAATGTGTAAAAGAAACTGGAAAGATCGTCACCTGACATCAAAAGCTTTTCGTCATCTGAAAGGTGAATGCCCAACAACGCTGTAGCCGCACCCATGCTCAATATATATTTGTCCGGCGTGAGTTGCAGCTGATTTGCCGGTCGTCCATCCAAAATCAAACGATCAACATCTAAATTCTTTGGAACACAAAAAAGTCCATTCCCGTGGTGCGCAATGATTTCCGAGGGTTTCCTAAAAACCAAACGACCAGATTTGTTAAGCAAACAAAGCAACTTGATCTTCTCATCCAAAGAGGCATGAACACGAACCCTGGGTGGTTTGTCAACCAACGAATCGGGATTGATGCCTTGACAAAAAGGCTCCTCAAAAAGCCTCTTACATTCTGAATCCAAAAAAGGGGTTGGATCAAAAACAGGTCTGCCCTCCATCTTAATTCTGTCGGCCACAATACGCTGAGCTGTGCAAACGTTGCTCTTCTGCAAATGCCCTATGACTTTTCCACGCTCGGCGGTTGGTCGACAAAGCTCCACTTTCTGAGACATCCTTTGATATTTGCTAAGGCCCTGAACGACACTAGAGCTGAAACATTCCAGCTTCTTGAGGATCTCTTCCTGCCGCTCTTGTTTAGCGGCAGTTCGCCCCATGTCAGAGGCAGAAAAAGCTTTTTGCTCTGCCCACGCTGAAGCTAGCTCCTCAACTCTTCTAACCATAGATTTCTGCTGATCAGTCAGAGCGACAGGGCCGCACACCCGGTCGGGAGGCAACTGGTGCTGCCCGACATGCAAAAAACTCAAATAGGAAATCTGCAAGTTGACGATGTGCCTAAAGCCAGCAGTACGCTCACCATTCTTCTTTACGCTAAGATCAGCACCATGATAAGGAAGAGGACACGGCCAGAGCTCAGCGTTAGGAGCCACATCACACTGGCTCCTCGGCGACTTCGAACACTGTGCTCGGTAGTAACGCCCAAATGGCGTTGCTGAGGAGAAAATCTTGTGGGGCCAAGTGCACCACATGGAGCCAATATCAATTGGCGAAGCATCAAAACCAGGCACATTCCGCCCGACATGGACATCCTGGCCACCGTCAAAGGAGGAGGGATCATCAAACTCAGCAGCCGAGTGAGCAACCTCACTTAAAGGACCAGCAGCTTGGACTTTGACAGCTTTCCCTCCCGTGCCCCGACCCAATACCGCAGTAGGGCTACAAACCCCCCGCGCAGACGAAGAAGTGCCGGGCAAAGGCCAAGGAGTTGGGCTGTCGGTGTCAACATGCTGCGATCCCTCGGAGTTCTCTATGCTGCAGGTTCTAGGGCAGGGTCGGATTCCTGCCCTTTCTTTCCTACCCCTTTTCCTTTTGCCTTGGCTGCCGCTTTGGGGTAAGACTTGGGCTGCGGACTGCCCTTCCCTCCACTTGCAGCTGGCACTGGATTCTTCTGACCCAGTTTCTTTCTCATTTCCATGTAGGTGTCCACATCCTTCAGATGATGGGCAAAGGCTTCGACCCATCTGCTGTCGAGGATCCTCGTGTAGGCCATTTCTGTCGGCTCTGGGATCACATGGTTGGCAAAAGAGGATATCGGCGCAGGAGGTTCCAGCGCAAACTCCTGCGCCAGAAGAAACGACCCTCGGTCGATGCTCTCCTGTTCGTACTGAGCCATGAGAAGATAGCAGCGACACAGAGCTTCGTCGGTCGCTCCTGCCCTGATGGCATCCATAACTCCTGCTAGGCCCCATACTGAGCGCACCGTCCTTGGGTAGGACTGGATCTTTGATCTGTGCTCGGCCCACCCCCGCACTGAGAAGCCGCTCACCGCAGTGTTTGGTTGAACCGTTGAGAGAGCATAGTCCTCTTGCATGTTGGCTTCCATCACGGTCCATAGCTTCTTCGGATCCTCTTTGAAAGCCTTCTTCAAAGCTCGGATGACTGCCGCATGCTTTCGAGAAAGTCCTACTCCTCCATCTGCTGACCCAGACGCGCCGCTGAAATCCATGGAGTCCTCCAAAGGATCTGCTTTCTTCGAAGCAGAAAGCTTGCTGACTATCTTTGTCAGCTGAAGGAGCGCTGCCGTCATGGGATCGGCGGCTGCATCTACGCCGTCGGGGTCTGACTCGGCCTCGGAGTCCTGCAGGTCGTTGTCCTGCTTCTTGGTACTTGGGTCCAAAGCTATCTGCTCTCCCAGCCGGGGTTTTCCTGCGATGGCCCTGCTTATCAGAGTCAGATGTTCGGAAGGCACACCCGCCTGTAAGGCTGCAGCCACCGCACTTGGATCCAAGCCTGGGTAATTCAGCACAGGAGGGCTGGCTTTCTTGCCAGCAGGTTTTGAGGAAAGAGCCTTGGCCTTTCCAGCCTTCTTGCCAGGCTTGACCTGATCCTCCACTCCTGATGGAGTCTCTTGCGCTGTAACATAGCCAGAGCTTCCGCGCTGTAGAGCCAGCAGCTCGTCCAGGCCCAGCTTGAGCTGGGAAAAGTTTTCTTCCAACACAGTCAGCCTTGAGCCTGCGTCCATGGCCTCTGCATCCTCCTCTTCTAGGTCCTCCGGAGCCTTCAGCCCAAATTTCTCGTAGGCTGCAGCTGCAAGACCGTCCGCATAAGGGAAACATGCCGCTATGGTGTCTTTGTCCTCAAAATTGTATAAATTCTGCAAATCCTCAGGAAAACTAATGCTAGGCAAAAGGTCTGCTTTCAGCCAGCCAAGCCAAACGTGAACCGACAAACCGTCGGCAGCGTTCACTCGGTCTTCAGCCGTACAAGCAGGGATTGATAAAGAGATAGGCTTGCTGAGACTACCTGTGTCCAGCAACCTCTTTGAGGCCTTCTTGTCCCAAACCGCTCCGGGGACACAGACAAGATGACCCAATCTGCCAACACCCAAAATCGCAATGTCAATCGGACCAGCACTACTGTCAAGGCACCCGACCTTATATTCCAGGTTTATGCCGTCCGCAGACACTATGAACTCTTCAAAGAAGAGCTCCTCTGCGATGGCTGTGTCAACAGCCATCCTATTGGTCGAGGATCTCGGTTGGCCAACCCAGGTCTGCCTCTCTCACGGCAATCCTGGCTTCCCACTGACTTGCGAATCCTGCAAAAATCGAAGAACCAAAATTGTGAGGGTTGCCTGGCTCGCTGACCAAATTGCGAACTGGGGCAAACACACTATAGACACGCACCGGATCCAAAAAGAACTCGTCCTCAAATGTGCGGATGACCACGTAGACTCGATTGGGGAGTCGGATCAAACCCCGCCCACTTTCACCCCTGGCCTCGCCGTTCAAACAGCGGTGGAAAAATTGACCAGTCAGCCTGGCAGCCCTCTCACGCTGCTCCTGGCTGTAATCTGAGGCCAAGGCGGCCTTTGGGGCCGGATAGGCCTTTGGAGCAGTCCTAGGTGGACTGCTAAGGATCCCAGGGACGGAAGACCCTGGCTGACCTCCACTCTGTAAATCAGCCAAATCACCCTCAAGCCGCTCAAGTCGTGCAGCTAGAGCCAGTAAATCAGCCCTCAAAACTTGGATCTCTCTCTGAAGCCGGCCCACCTCACTCATGAAATGACCCGGTACAGTTTAGGGCCCCGACCAACTCCTGTCAGCCTCGCAATCCGCGCCTTGATAGATAAAGTTGCCCACTGCTTGATGAGCACCAGAACTTCCAGCAAGGGCCAGAGCAGCAAGCCCACAATCAGGCCAGACCAAAATTAAGAGGTATATCCCGTGGAGTTTCAGGACAGGTGAGCTCAGAGGTATCCGGTATCAAGTTTGCAGGGATGTTCAAATTGCCAGGGATGTTCCAATCCTTTTCAGCAAAGAACCAATCTTTCAGCAAAAAAAGTATAGAGCTAGACAAGCTCCTCGTAGCGGCCGATAAGGCCAAGGGATGCCTTTCCATCCACGAACTTTGTGCCCAAACTGCACCGGTGTGAAAACACATCCAGAGTATATCTAGCTTTATGGTTTTTATTATTTATAAAAAAAATACATGTGCAACTATCTAATACACATACATACTATACATATGTAAATATATAGCTTTTTTTCTGACGTCGCGTAGTACTGCTCCTGTCAGAGCAGGAGCAGCACCAAGCCCATGGTAAAAGCATCATCATTTTCAAAACTCAAGGAGCATCAGCCATCATTTAGACAACCGGCTGCAAAAGCACAATAAACGTCACAGCCTGTTGCAGACTGAGCATTAATGAAAATCTTTCACAACTGGCTGCGAAGCATCATAATCTTCAAGATCTGTTGCTTATTACAAGAACGACAGGTGGCTTGCAAGCCCCACCACAATCACAAACTTTGAGGTCAGAGCACCCAAAGCACCCACAGCCATGAAAGCACCCACTGCCACAGAAGTGGATTCAAAACGTTTTTACACACAGACATTTTTACACACACAGACGCTTTTACACACGGGCGCTTTTACACACACAGACGCTTTTTCACACAGACGCTTTCACACACAGACGCTTTCACACAGAAACACTTTTACACACAGATTCCGTTACACACAGACACTTTTACACACAAACGTTTCTACACACAGAAGCTTTTACACACAGATGCTTTCACACACAGACGCTTTCACATACAGCCGCTTTTAGACACAGCCGCTTTAGACACAGACGCTTTTACACACAGACACCTTTACACACAGCTGCTTTTGCACAAAAACACTTTTTACACACAAACGCATTTACACACAAACACTTTTACACACAAACACTTTTACACACAGCAACTTTTACGCGCACCAACAAGATCGTGACATTCAAAGTCGCTAAGCGACCGCCCCATGTCCCTCTGACATGGCATATGCTGCATCACCTCAGCATCCAAGAAAACTTGCAAGTGACTGTCAAAAAAAATCATTGCTAGACGCATCAGGGAAGAACCTTGCTGTAAACAAGATGTCAAGTGATGTCAGTTGAAAGATCTAACGTCGTGGCCATGCGAGCAGTAGTGTATGACTTTTCTGACTCCGTGACGTCTGAAAGGTCAAAAACCATTGATCGCCACCTGAGTCGGGCTTTTAAAACGCGGAGCAGTTTCAACGCACATTTCTAACGCCAAGCAAACATGTTACAGCATGCAGCCACACTTTTGTCTTCCCTGCGAGCGACTTCACACAGACGCTTTCACACACCAACACTTTTACACACAGACGATTTTACACACAGACGCTTTTACACACAGACGCTTTTACACACAGAGACGCTTTTACACACAGACGCTTTTACACACACAGACACTTTTACACACACAGACGCGTTTACACACGGGCGCTTTTACACACACAGACGCTTTTACACACAGACGCTTTTACACACAGACCCTTTTACACGCAGAGACGCTTTCACACACAGACCCTTTTGTTTACACACGGACGCTTTTACACACAGACATTCGCAATTTTACTT